CAACACGACTCTGCCCGTGAGCAGCCTCCTGACGAGCAATGAGACCTTCGCCGCCGCCGCCCGAGCCGAGTACGACAGCCAGCACACTGGTCCCTTCGCATCCCCCACCGGCGACTTTTTGGCTTTCCTCCCTCTGTCCACCTACTCCCAGGCTGGCCAGTCTCTGAACACCCAGGCCACCTCTCAGGACGGCACGACCTTCCTTCCTACTGGTACTCCGGCCGAGGTTGTGAAGGGTTACCAAGCCCAGCAGAAGGTGCTCAATGAGCGTCTTCTGGCCACTGACTCCGCCCTTCTTGAGGTTATCTGGTCCGACGGTGCCATGGTGCTTGGACTTCAGCACCCTTACTCTCGTGGCAGTGTGAAGGCCTCCTCCAGCAGCACGTTCGACGCCCCCGTCGCCGACGCCGGCTTCCTCCGCAACCCTCTGGACGTCTCCCTTTTGACCGAGGGCGTTAAGTTCACTCGTACCCTCACTGCCACCTCCGCCATCAAGCAGCTGTCTCCCGTCGAGGTCGTTCCCGGTGCCAACGTTACCAGCGATGAGGCCATTGGCGACTTCATTCGTCAGCAGGCTTCAACTCTGTACCACCCTGTCGGCACCTGCAAGATGGGCGCCAAGGAGGAGGGCGGTGTCGTGGATGGAAACCTGAAGGTCTACGGCGTCAAGGGTCTGCGTGTTGTCGATGCCTCTATCATGCCTTTGGTTCCTGCCACCCACATCATGACAACTGTTTACGCTGTCGCTGAGAGAGTAAGTTGCGCTCCAGTGTTCTCTAGTATTGAATCCCACTAACAGTGACTCCTTTGCAGGCTGCCGATATCATCCGTGGCAAGACTTCTGCCTGAGTATCTTCGATGAGACTCGACGAAACTACGTGATGGAGCGCGTTCGTGCACCAATTCTTTTCTGGTCATACTTCAGGGATAGAAAGTACATATCAATTCGCCCTCACCTCGGCAACAAATGCATTGTATTGAAAGCGTCGACAGCTGGTAGTAAAGTTTTTCGGTGACTGAACATCCGTGTGGAACCCGAAATGAACCATTTGATTCTGGTGAAAATATGCCGTAGTAGTTCTCTTCACGCGCCTTGTTGATCATCGGCGATGGCTTCGTGAACACGATCTCATCATGATAACTCAAGACACCAACTGGTATGGAATTTCTCAGAAGGGGGAATATGCATGCTTCAAATATGCGCGCTGCATGAGCTTGGGCACATTGTCTCGAGCGAAAGCCTCCCTTTGACGCAAAGAGAATAACAAGATTCAAGACACTTTTCCATATGGCAAAGTACCTCGGGCCTAACGCCGTACTCGGGCGCAGTGCATGTTCTCCAATCAGGAATTTTTCACTTATATTTCTAGTGGTCCTTGTGTCTCGCTTGATATATAGAAGGCTGGGTAGACACCGTTACCTGCGTGGCTCACTGCGCGCCTCTCACTTGGGGGCTGTCCGAGGCACCAGCTGAAATGCAAGACATCAGACACCCGTCTTCCCCTCCGTTTAAGCTTGGGTATCCTGGATTCCATGCAAAGGCGGCAAGGTTCATCTTCCCCGCACCGGACTAACATCCGCACATCTCCATGAAGAATGACGTCCAAGACAATTGATCCCAGGGCTGCTCGGACATGTAAGATCAGACCATCGTGCAATTAAATCCCCGACCAGGAATTTGTTCTTCATGAATGTGAGAAGTTGTAGAGGTGGTCGCCTTGGAGAGAGGATTTCACTACATTGACTGATTTTAATAGAAAGCCGCCAGGGGCGCGCATCGCTCAACGTCTTCTTGCGCAAGCCATTTTGGTCACGAGCACAGAGCAGCCTTCCTCGGACCACCGTATCGAAAATTCACCACCTCAAACTTCGAGATACTCCGCATCGCGGGTGCACATTTTGCCATCATGCTCAAAGTTATGTTTTCTTTCGCGGTTCTAGCGTTGTGCGCCGGTGCCAGGACCGAGCATGACCTTCCGCAGCTGAAGCTTCCGTGGGGTACTTGGGAAGCTGCCCGATTTCCAGGAGACGAGGATGTGAGCAAAGAAAAACATTATATGTGTCTGACCTGTGATGTCTAATCTGTTCATACAGATATACGTGTTTAGAAACGTGCGCTTTGGCGCAAAGCCAGAACGCTTCGGGGCTCCATCATTCCCCGACTGGGAAGACGACAGCATTCAAGACAGCGGAGGTGGCCGGAGTTGCATCCAGATCAACCCGAACGGACTCAAAAACCCGCCTGGTGGAAGAAACCTGATTTACGAAGAACCCGACACCAGCATCATCGAGGATGAAGACTGCCTCTTCCTTGACATCTACGTACCAGTCAAAGCTTTTGACAAGGATTCCACGCGCCTCCCCGTCGTCGTTTGGCTCTATGGCGGTGCGTACGCCTTCGGCAGCAAGGACCAATTTAGTCCTCTTTACACAGGCCAGTCTCTTCTTGAGGCATCAAGATATGGCACCATTTTTATCACTGGCAACTATCGTTTAGGTGCATTCGGATGGCTCGCAGGCTCCTATATGGAGGATAGCGGGCTGCCGAATGCCGCCCTTTATGACCAGGCCCTCCTTTTTGAGTGGGTTCAGGAATACATTGACCAAATCCAAGGCGATCGATACAGCGTCAGCGCCTGGGGCGAGTCGGCTGGTGCTGGCTCTATCATGCATCATTTGATCCGGGAAAACGGCGAGAAAGACCCCAACTTCAACACCTTCCTAGTTCAGAGCCCCGCATTTGAGTGGCAATGGGATAACTCCAAAGACGGGGCGCTCGACAAGGCCTACCGGATGTTCTCTGAACTGGCTGGCTGCGGAGACAAGTACGACATTGACTGCTTGCGCAACGCCAGATCGGCCAAGTTGATCGAAGCAAACCAGCAGTTCTTCGGCAAGGTCAAGCAGACTGGCATGGCGCCTGTCGGGCCCTCTGTTGATGGCAAATGGATAAGGACTCTACCAACAATCGCGTTTTCTCAAGGTATGCCTCTCTGATCATAGTCTGTCACTTTTTGTAGGAAAGAAGACTCTGATTTGACAAAATAGGTAAATATTGGGATAATATCTGGTCCACTGTCGTCTCTCACTGCGCCAACGAGGCCCAGTCATTCATACCCGCAGGCATGGACTCACAGGCAAAGTTCAACTCTTACCTGGCCATGATGTTTCCCGGGGAGAAACTTTCGCACATTAGAGATCAGATACGTCAACAGTACAAATGCTCGGCTTTTCATCATGACAACTACACCACATGTTTGAAGGAGGTGATTCAGGATTCTACATTCACCTGCAACACCCGAGACCTTTACGATGCCTACTCCGACAGGTCATACATGATGGAGTATGCATACCCTTTCAGAGTTCTGGCTTACCATGCCAGCGACTTGATCCCTCTCTTTTCAAACAACGTCCAACAAGTTGTGGGCCTCCTCTCCAAGGTTTTGAGGAGCAGATTGCTGGCCAAGATCTACGCCAAAGTACTCGAGGGCCTGGTAGCGACGCGGTACAAGGCATATCTCGCATCCTTTGCTATGAATGGAGACCCGAATAACCTACCCAGAACTACGCGACTGTACTGGCCTGTGGCGGACGGGAACCACGATAGGCTGCGAAGTGTCCTCCAAGTCCGCGCCCCGGGGTTTCTCCACTCGGCGTTCCGTCTCACATCCGATGACCAGAATTCGAGGAATAGATGCGAGTTCTGGAATGATATCGCTCAGCAAATCATGGGACTGAAAGACAGCAAGGTTACTGTTGAGAACGAAGAGCAGGTGGTGATTCATAAGCTCCCTTCAATATTTGAGGAGCTCTGAGGATGACCTCCACCGAGTCGCCCTTCATGGATTTTGCATGATGATAAGCTTTGCCGTGGGAAGATAGACACCAATTTGACTTATTTTGCTGTTCGTCATTCGCATGGAGAATTTCTCCAGATTTCTCTGTCTGTGGTTATCAGAGGTCGTTCTCATAGCAGCTAAACCTTTCCTGTGGGAACAACGATACCGATAACTCTGAGTACGTGTCTAACATCAGCTACGTCAAGAGTTGTAGCTCAGTGCATTATGTGAGGATCCGTTATTGGCAAATTCCTTTACATCATGTCCTTCTTAGACAGAGAATGTTGCTTCGGGGCCAACAGGACTGTTCAGCCGCTTCGCACCTTTTGCCAATCGAATTTACATTCGTTATTCGTCACCGCGAACACTGTCTCTGTGCACGAGAGATGAACCATGACCCCAACGTATCCGACAGCAATTCCAATAGAAAGAAGGATCATTGCCGCAAAAACTTGCAATAAATGATGGCTTTTATGCCGGTTTTCTGGATCTGAAGCCCTGGGGTCAGCAAAGAATTTGAAACACGGTATCATGATCCGGGTACATACTGCTCATCCTAATGACTACTCCCTTTCTCTTAAGTGCCCTGACGATACAATCATACAATTTCTGGTCTGTATCGAGGCTGACACCTATCCCGTCCTGGCGCAGAATATGCATGTATGTCAAACTTCGAGTTCTCGCCCGCGGGTGTGGAAGTCCCAAGTTGATGGTTGCCAGTTCCAATGGTGTAATACCGAAACCACATTGCCGGTTCACATCTGCCCCGGCCTCAATCAACATCTCTAGTGCCTTAAGCTCCCCTAAGTCGACGGCATATATAACAGCACTGATACCAAGGCAATCCTCGCATTCGAGAGCGAGGCCGGCATCTAATAGCTGTTTAAGGTAAGGTTTCCTATTCTTTATTGCATCTACCACCTCTGAGCCGCACCTTTGGCCGTGGTCTGTTTTGGCGGGTTTTCCATCCCTCCGACCATACCCATACTCTAGGAGGGGCGCGATTACAGGAGGAAGATGTGCTTCCCATCCCATTGCGGCGTACAAAGCGTTGTGACTCTCGTGATTCGGCTGCCTCAGAAGCCACGGCAGTTTCCAAAGTTCTGGGTCTGGTGAAGATCTCTGAATGCCGGGAATAGGCTTTCGTTGAGTGATAAAAGCCTAGCGCTCGAGCAAATCCTCCAAAACCGAGGCACATAGATTGGTGCTCTTAGATACCCATTCCACCTGCTCCAAGCTAGCTCCTGCCTGAGCAAGAGCCATTACAACTTCCAGGTTTCCTTTTCTGGCCGCATGACGAATGTATGTTTTGCCATCCGACATCTCCGTTTCGTTGACGTCAATGCCACATTTTAGGAAGGGCTCAATCATGTCTACGGTACCAAAAGAGCACATTGTCCTCAGAAACGTGACTCTGTCAAGGCTGGACGCACTCTTTAACCATGATGCTTGCTTTTGAGGATCCAGCTCGGGCAGATGTTCGATGCGGGGACGGATACTAGATGAGATCCCGATAGGTGTTCGTATCCCCTGGAACTCAGCTTCGAGCTTGCTCTTAAAGGAAGGGATTGATCGTGCTAAAGACGCTACGAGCCATAGGTCTGTCGGGCGGAGGTTCTGAAGCATGTCGAGGTCAATGAACTTATACAGAACCTCATCGAAGTAATCGAATCCTTGAGGCATCTGGAACATCAGAAGACATGACGACTGTCCAACTTTGTCGCAAATGGAGAGATTGGCGCCATTCTCTATGAGAATACTTGCCATCGGCTGCATCCTCTCATAAGATTTGCTGCTTTCCAGCATAAATTGACAACACTGCATGAGTGGGGTTGTAAATATACGTTGGTGAGCCATTCCTATCGTAATGCAACCGGTGACTCGTCTTCGTCGTGAGCGTCATACTTTCCACTTTGGTTCAGAAAGTCCAAGTCAAATGCTTTGGTTGAGCCTAGAATGATCCGGCAGAGCCCAAGCATGTCAATGCCCATGCCGTGTCTGACAATAATCTCCTGTTTTCTCGTCGTCATCGCCATTTTCTTTCATCTCTTCTGAATACTTACATGAAGAAGGGAATTTCCTGAGGGAGCAAGAAGATCGGTTGGGTGGGCTCGCCCTTCCGCAAACATCTCAAGAATGGCCGAAGAATTTCCAGCATTTAAATGTCGACGAAGATCTGGATCCTAATTGTAACCGTACGTTTTCGGTACAAATTTGAACTCGCCGGAGCAGCATTTCTGAAAGTATAATCGGGAGACTGACTTGGCCCAAAAGCCGCACGGGTAAAGAAATACATCGAGGCACCAACTCTTCTGTTCATGTAAGGCCTTCCCTCTCTGGGATGTGGTAGTTGATATTATACGACGAGCAGAAATAATCCCGATTGGAATGCGAATCGAATAAACGCAGCATGTCAGTTCGTGGGCTATCAGTTCAACCTTGCCCAGAAGACTGTGGTTGTGGTCCCAACCTCGGACGCGACCTAGCTCCGAGTTGACGACACTGGCGTCCCATTTTGGCTCTGCGAGAATCGATCCGCGATGACTGATGGTGAATTTAACGACGCTTCTTGCTCGGGACTCTTCGAGCTCTATGCATGGCAAATTATCGATTCCTTTGGCTACAATACCCCGGAGCCCGATGCCCAGATCTTCGTCTTGTACAAGGAAAACACTGCCAATGGGAGAGGCTTGCGGCAATCGATGTTTTTGAGATTTCAGTTCAGAGATCAACTCTCTCTGACGTCTCCTAAAGCCGAAAAAAATTAGTCTTTGGTCACCGAAAGTCAGCAGAAACCTAGTATTAAATTGACGAACTCTTGTACAACGCTGAGCATAAACGTGAAGGAAGACTGATGATCAAGAAGTCTTTTTTCGAAATTCTCTATATCCTGGTTGGAAAAGACCTTTTTAAATCGTGCCCGTATCGATTTGGAAGTCTTTGTGGGCTTGTTGAATTCTTTTTCAAGTCTTTGCAGCGCCTGCAGTAGGCTCTCTAGATCAGCTTTCACAGCGGCAGTTTGGTCTTCCCAGGGGACTCCAGTATCTCGCTTCTTGCTGATGAGCTCTTTTTCTGGTGCACCCAAGGCCTGTATCTCATCCAACACATGCTTCAGGCGATGCATGGCCCCGGAAATGCGCCTGATCTCATCTGGCGCTTCCGATAATTGTGTTTGCAGACGATGTAGGGCGCTGAAACTTTTCAGCAGAAGCTCCCCGAAGCTGCCAACACTTGCGACAAATGCGAAAACCTCCATCTCGTCGAAGCGTTGTTTAAATAGCTGATGACGAGTGTTTCTGTGATACTGTTACTTGTTGTTGTTGTGTGTCGAATGCTGAGCGTTCTTGTAGGTTGCGCGCCAAGTGCCCGTGATGCTCTTTGGCTAGAAATGGGAGGATAGTGACACCGTTTGGTTGCGATTGGTTGCGGGACAGAAATATTTAGAAAGTATTTGCTTTTGGCCCTCGGGTGACGGGTCAGAAAGATCGGAACGTAGAGCCTTCTTCGCATGCCAAGACAATATAAGCATCCCTTGGGGAGAGACCCAGTTGCCCCCAATATCTAATAGGCCACCGCCATCTCGACGTGCCGCATTGTTTCCTCATTTGAATCTTGGGCGCATGGACAACTCATAACGTGTGACAAGAACGAACGAATAAAAACGCTCCATCTCTTATGTGCCTCAACTTCGCATGCCATGCGGGCGCCTCACGCCTGATTTGAAGAGTGTTTCGGTGTGAATTATGGGCGGCACCTCATCTAATAGGCCTCCCTTTTGCAGGCGGCCTCCGCCAAATTGATGATGGCCGGGGGTGCCCGTTCCAGATGCCCCTCATCCAGTTTTGATTTGCTGTGGAAGTTGTACCCGAAAGCCCGAGAGCTCGAGAAACGAAGCCTTGGCTACTACAAATGATGGTCGGATCCTGTCTCTCCTACAGAGTTTTCACGACTGTGAAGCCTTGTCTAGTACTGCTTTTTCCAACTCAGTAAAATGGAAACGCCTTCAATTTTAGCAAGATGGTGTTGGCCAATGTCCCTCTTGTTCAGCACTGCCATCATCATTGGATTAGTTTTGCTTTCCCGGCGCTTTTCTACGAAGCCCCGAAAGCCGGTCTCTCTGAACTCCCCCGAATTCCAAGGGGTGCCTGAAAAGGACGTTTCAACAGAGATACCAGCCTACATCTGCGCTTCGGATCATGACAAGATTCGTCGAGACCAATGGGTTGGCCGACTTGCAGAATACGCCTTTCGGGAACGCCATCGGGGTCGCTACAACGTGCTAGTGATGCATGACAGTCTCGAGTACTACTTCAATAGTAACTCGATAGAAGAGGACAAGATTATTCACTACTCGGACCCCCGCAATGGCGCACTCCCTTACCGTCTCCTCGTGTTTCATGATGGAGAAGTGGTAAACTTTGGGGACGGTGGCTACATCAATTGGACTTTTTGGGGAGACTTTACTCGACACGGTGTTTCTTCAGTCACATTTCATCCGAAGAAGAAGGACGTCGAGTCTTAAGACGACCATGGTTTTGTAAGGCCGATGCGGCCGGGGGTAATGTCAGCTCTTCTTCACGAGTGAGAGAGTAAATAGGCATATGTTCAGAGGAAATCAGTGGTACATCACAAGATTTGTTCAATTTGCCAACGGTCAATCAAAATGACAGCCGCTAATTCACTTGGTTGAGACATTCGCTATTGAGAAGGAATATCTTAGAAAATCCAATACAACACCAGCTTTCAATTAAGCTCCTCACAAACCATGGTCATGGGCTTATGACCTAAAGATATGCCAATGAAGAAGAGAAAAACCAAGCCATCGGGAATACATGCCTTGGACGCCTAGTTCTGGGCGCTAAAGTTGCCGGAAGCTAGGTTGCGGCAACCTGTAAAGCATGGAGGTTCATCTGAAGTCGGCGCCTGGGAATAACGTTGGTGGTTCGTCTGTCGCTTGAGCCTGAGCTTGCTTTGAGTTCTGTCAGTTCTCGACTCTTCTGGAGCCAGGCATAACCAGCACATCCAAACGGTAGACATAGTATCCAGAGCATCAAAGATGAATTTCACAGCCTAATGCAGGCCGAAAAAGGTGCTAGGCGTCTGAACACACCTACTAGCCCGTTTGACTGTGTCACGCTGTCTTCATAATCCACTTGCGCTTCGACAGTCCCCAACCATCAAACAAGCTGGGTTCAGTCGCCCGGCTAGCTCAATCGGTAGAGCGTGAGACTCTTAATCTCAAGGTTGTGGGTTCGACCCCCACGTCGGGCTCAATTCCCGTCAGCGATTGGCATCTAGCTTCATTTTTTGTGTTTTGTTAATTTTGGGAAGTTTCCTTTCCTCACGATTGGGAGGTTTCAGAGACGTCACGGTGCCACGCCCTGTTTGTGTGAGAAACTTTTGACCTACCCCGGGCGGGTGGCCGACAAGCGAGAGCGTTAGTGGTGGGGCCGTGGCGGCCCCATACAATCGTTAACGATTCCGGGGCTGCGGTAGCTCCTAGTCGCTGCAGGACTGGGGAAATCATTGATGCATTGATGCCGGCATTGCGGCGTCGTATCTACGCACCTTGCTTCTCTGGCATCACGATGGCAGCAGTGTGGGAGTAAACCTCATAGTGCCTAGAAATAGATGCCTCCAGGCCTCGCTATGGAGATTGTTCTTATAACTAACTCACTTGTATCCCGCTGAACCCCAGAACGCCGTGCTATGCAAGCTTGAAAGAAGGTGTACCGCCAAAAGTATACTTTAGAAGAAATTTGTGTGTTCGTGTTACCAGTCCACCGCCCAGCCATTCTTTTCCAAGAACATCTCACACGCCTGCCTGAGTCCAAGATTGGGCCTCAGCTCGGATGGCAAAAGAGGTTCCCTAGTCAGAGGGTCGCTGGGGTGCCTCCTGAGGTGTTCCATGATCGAAGCCCTTTCGTAAGACTTTCCAGTCTTGGTCTATAGAAACCAGTCAGCGATGGTTGAGGATCCATGATGGCAATCAAACTTACGATGACGGGGTCGACCATGATGCCGAAGCTAATATCGTCAATCGCCCAATCCGGAACCTCGCCTCTCTGTTCCTCCACCGGTCGGCTCTTCTCAAACGTCTCTCTCAAAAGCTGAATCTTCTTGTCCCACTCCGCCTCAATCTCCTTCTTCTCGCTGTCGTCCATGGCGTCATCAATGGCTTGCTTGCGCTCCCTCTCCATCATCTCGACGATCTCGTTCTCCATCTGATGTGCTTCGCGGAGGCGGTGCCTCTCCTTCCAATCCCACCGCTCCTTCTTCGAGCGGAGGACTTGTGCTGTGATCGCCGCAAGAGACTTATCTCCAGTCTGGACGCACAGTTGATGGGCACGTAGGGCATTTGTAAGGGCCGATTCGTAGTCCTTCAGCGCAAGCTGGGCCTGGGACAAATAATAATGGGCTTTCAGGTTATCAGGGGCAAGGCCCAGGCAGGATTCGCAATCGGAGACGACCGAGTCCCATATTTCGAGCTTTAGACGGGCCATGGCGCGGTTCGTGTAAAGGGCTGGATTCTTAGGGTCGGCGATGATTCTGTTCGATGTCCTTGTCAGCAACTTGTCTCTACGTACTAAGCTCGCCTGGCATGCTGGACAGGGTCAAGTGGGAGAAGAGGAGTGCTTACGCCTTAGAATACAAGGCCTCTGCCCCGGCATAATCGCCTGACTGGAAGTGGCGGTTACCCTCCTCCTTAAGCTGGATTGATCTCGACATCGTGAAACCTATCCTGTCGGCAGTGAGGCCTACGCACTGGCGTGGGAAATTTATACGATGGGTGGATTTGTCTAGGTTCTTGTCGATTGGTAGTCGTGAATCAGACTTGGAACTGGAAGGACGGAATGCAGTGCGAAGATGACTGGCCAAGTGCAGTATTAAGTGGCCGTCGGGAGGTGTCGTCGGGAAGACTAGTGCAGGGAACGAGCAAGAACGGAAAGAAGGACTGCTGCTGCCAGAGAAACCCGGAGATTATTCGACTCCAGCGCAGAGCATGTACGTGTGCGTTTCGATCGGTTGGCGGGGTGGATCGGGATGTCGAGATCGGGAAGTTGTATGAGGTACGGGAACTAAAGTAACGCCCAGCAGGAGGAATTGGGCATGCCGACCGATGCTCCGACTCAGCCTCGTGGAGTCAGAACCTATGTGAGGTGTGGTGTGGTATTTGCTGCTGCAACCACCGAAGCTGGTAACTACTGATGCTGCTGCTGCTGCTGGATGGCAACCGGGTGCTTGCTACCTACCTACGAGGTCAACACCTTCAGGCGGGACCCCGCCAACAGCTGCGTCCTTCCGCGTGGTCGGATTGGATTCTAGGGGTCTTTGCTCCTCCCCCGACCCCACTTTCGCCCGGGAAGCGCGGGTGAAAGCTGCGTTCTGGAATCTTCCGCTTAGAAACACATGAGTGGCTTGCGCACTCGGTGATTTGATGTCCGATCACGTGCTGTGGCTGAGGTCGGCCGACTTGCCGACTGTGGGTCAACGACGGCGCCGGCAGAGTGGGCTCCGGTCCGGTGCCTGCGCCGGCTCAGGTCGTGGTGCCCAAATTCAATTGACTTAATGCATCATGCATCACTTGACACAAAGGTTGGGTTCCATAGTCAAGAAAACCCCTTCGGTCTCGAGCCGCGTGAAAACTCAACTTCAGCATCCATCAGGGTCGGAACCAGCAAAGTATTTAAAGCAGCAATCTTTGTTAGAATTCCAGATCGGTACACATAGCAAACCCCACAAACACATCAAGCACTTCAAGATTCAGAAACCATGTTGAATACAGTACTCATTGCTGCTCTCGCAGTTTTTGCAAGAGCTCAGCCAGTAATCGACCCTGGCTCGATTGCAGCATCCCACCAAAGCTTAGCCAGTTGCATGGACTCGCTCCCTTCAACAAACAAAACAGTTCTCAACATTTTCAAGGGCCGCTGTCTGTCTGCTCGTGTCAACGACGACAACGTGCTAGAAGCATGTTGCGTAAGTCGAGAGGGGTGGAAAAGGGCGGCATTGCCTCTGGCAAAGTGCACAGCTTTTGTTGGCGAATTTGGAGAGCAGAAGCTTATGTGGGGAAGCAACTCTTCAGAACCGTAAGTCGCATCTAGGCTCTGGCCGGTTGAGTTGCAGAATGATACTGATAGCGTGAATCTAGGAGCCTGTCTGAGCACTTCCAGATAGGCCATTGCACATGCGACCTCCTCCAACTCCAAGAACGAGAACTGGCACCAGAGGCAGTCAAGTGCAAATGCTTTAGCTATCAACCTAGCAACAGCAGACTTTTATTGGGTTGTGGAGATATCGATAAGTCCTCTGATAGTTACATGACGCATTTTTCGGGTCCCCTGCCTTGGGTTACCGCAGACGGGTCTATGGACTGCGCCATGTCAAAGGCCTATATCCACAACTTCTTCAAATACTCCCGCGAGGACAACTGAAGGGATATCGAAAGTTCGCCATGCCAGAGCCAGGCTAGGTGGCATGTGGCATGGAACATCTCAATGCGGTATCTGTGTTTAGTAGTTAGCGAGGGGCGGATTTGGAAGAAGATTTCTACGAAATTTCCACTTCTTAGCTCATGGTCATACTGCGAGATCCTACTTGCACGTGCAATTCTATGATTCCATTTGAGAGACCTTATTTGAGATCTAGCCTTCGAGCTCAGTCCAAGTCACGTAGACGAAATGACGAGTAATCATGTCCTGAGGGTTGGGTCTTGTCTCTGCAATTCATCTTAACCCGTCCAATGGTGAGGTTTGGCAGCGAGTTTGATCATACCTTCGCCAATGAATCGCGGTCTTCAGGCGTTTTTCAATTGGTTGTCTCTGTGTGAGAAACTTGAAAAAACCGCGTCGTCCCATACCGAGGCAGAACATGACAGTAGCTCAGGCTGAGTCGGAAAGCAAATTCTCTTGCCTTCTGAGTTTTTCCAGACCGTATTTTCAGTCAGATAGTCATGGATATGCCCTTGCAGGCTGGGGCTACCTTAATACACTACGACCGGGCACCGGATATCGCACCGCAGCGGGGCTATCAAACCTAGTCTACTTTATCCGAGCCGGCCTATGGGACGTGTCGAGAAACCAAGTAAATCGCTGCCTGCGCTAGTTGCTCGCAATCAGCGGGGTGAAGTTCGTCTCTCATTTCCCTGCCCTAGATATTCGTCATGCCGAGAATAGCCAAGCCTGCTATGTGGACGCAATGCAACGCGGAGTCGCTGAGCCTAGCCAACATCCATCCGTCTCGGCCGGCTGCGTGTGGATGTGACGCGGAGCTTTTTAGATTGTCTTATTGGCTATAATCACTGAAGAAATTGGGGCTTTTCCACGTACAAAGCGTGCAGCAAGATCAAACTTTCAACCAGTCGCCCTGTGATGTTGCCTCGGCTCCGTTGTAAGGATTCAGTCCCTGGCTTGGGGAGTTGCTAACGGTGGATGCTTGAGCTTGGCAATATGTAAATAGCAAACGAGCTGTTGTACAGCACACACGTCTTATAACCATTCTAAGAAGAAAAGTGGCCTTGAGTGGCCTAACAGCCACATAAATTTGCCTATAAAGCCTTTCGTCACTCTACACCTTTCGTCTGGTTCTCCTTCAAACCAGCAAGTCATATTCTAGTCCCCTTACTTCAACTTCAACTTCTCCTTCAACATCGACCATACTCCAAAATGGTCAACTTCATGCGCGCCGCCGGCCTCCTGGCAATCACCCATCTTATTGCAGCAGCCCCAACTGTTACGGATGCTGGTATTGACGTAAGAGCCGTCGATGTGGCAGTACCCTTCTCTTTTGAGAAGTGGGCTGAGGATATCATTGCCAACCCCAACGGAAACCACCCCTCGCCGGCGGAGGCTATCGCCCTCGCGTTCAACGAGACTTCAACCGGTTAGGAGAACTGATCTTGGCTGTAGAAGCATGTGAAAGAGGCTGACATACTCGAGTCTGTAGATGGTCTCGAGAAGCGTCAGGCTGATGTTAGTTGCACTTTCGACAAGCCTGGTGGCGCTGCTTCGGTAAGTACCATTGTCCCCACCTCCCTGTCGTGAAGTCCTCACGACGACTCTCGGGGAGTATGTACGGGCCCACTAACATCTCGAATTCAGGTCGCTGATGCGGTTTGGTGCATTGATTTCATCGCTGCCCGCGCCAATGTCGCATGCAATGCTGTCGTCAGCGGTACCTCCTTTTGCAGCCGCGGCCAAGCTCGGATCACCGGTGTGGCCACCGGTGGAAACCCCCCCAGGGATACGTCCAGCCCTTGTGGCAACGTTGCCCGCTCTGCTGGGCAGATCATGGATGCCTGCACCCGCAACGGCCTCGTATATGGACAGAATAATGCTTGGGGCAACGGCAACATGAGAGTCCACATCCGCGCTGCTTTCTAAGTTAGCAGTGGTCTGTAGCGGGAATCAGAATAGTTTTACGGAGGCATAGAGCTTGACAAGCGTTGAGTGAGAACTAGAGACCTAGAAGGAGAGAATCCGGACGTAAAATATGAAGAGTGGCAAAAGTTCGTGGTCCATTTTGCTCTGACTTCCAAAAGCGTCGAAGATACCTCGAGAAAACATATTGGGTAAACAGGGCATCAGAAGTCACGTCATAACCATGGTCGCCGTTGAAACTACCAATGTTCTATGGGCTGGCCACGATATCAACGTAACAATGTGTTATTAAACTAACTCAATGAGATGCAAGCTTTTAAGCGGTGGGCCTCTGAGGCTTCTGGGTAAAGTGTAACAATGATGAGCAAACAAAAAGGAAATCGGAACATGAACCCCCGTTCACGGGCTGTCTAGTAAGTTGTCACCTCCACGCTGGATCCATAGCTCCAGCACCTCCATCTCTCCTTCGCAGACGCAATTGTAGGCCTCTTGAGCCCTGCGCCTGCCATGTCGGCACCTTCAAGCTTCCATTCCATAGGCCAGGTAAAAGCCTGGTTGGCCTCCCTCTTCTCATCTGCAGCACTCAGTGTAGTCCACTGTTCAACCGCAGGTGTGTTCAGCTTGCCGTACCCCTTGACGAGGCGGCCATACACCTCCTTCGTATTCCTCAAACCGTCGCCACGAGAAGCCCAGTTGCACTTGCGCATGCCGTCGAGATGGATGTCAGCAGCGTTTCGGAGACGCTCGTCCTTGTCGGCACCGCTGGTGGCAAGGAGATGCTCTTCGAGATCGCACACGACGTCCTGATGGACGTGGGCGGCGTCGCGAAGACGGTCGCCACGGCGGAGAAGCTGTGTAAGGCGGTTGGCAAAGTCCAGAGCTTGGATGTCCAGACCGCCACGGGATTGGCGGACGTTGTAGTAGAGAGTGTCGCAGAGGTTGATTGCCTGGTCTATATGTCCCGCAGAGATGTGAGCGTTGACAAGGAGAGAGCCAATGTTGAGGACCATATCGGCTCGCCACATGCGTTGCACCTCCCTGGACTGCCAGAGAATGGTAAGAAGGTTCTGTGAAATGATTGTTAGCTCAGTCTAGTTCACAGTTGTCATACAGTAACGTACCTCGAGTTCGGTGTAGTTCTTCTGTTCGCCAAGAAGGTAAACCAGACTCTTGACATCTCTGGGCTCAAGGCCAGCGAAGTCGAACCTGCGCTCCTTCATGGCGGTGAACACCATCTGCATCACATTTCTGCTTGTAGCAATAGAGGATTCCTTAGCGTTGTCATTGGCAGACTTCCAGGTGCTCACGCCGATGCCAGCAAGAAGCTCAGCCAAGCGGAAGCCCCAAACAAAGTTATTGCCCATGTGGTAAAAGCGTTGAGAGTTGGCAAAGCTGAAGCCGACCTTGGCCACTTCGTGGGCTCTGTTGATGTCTTTCTCCTTCTCCATGAACCTCTTGGTAACCGTGTAAGCGGCCCTGCATGAGACGAGGCCGAAGTCGATGGAGTCTCTGTCGGCAGCAATGCCCTCGCCGATCTCGCTGAGCAGGCCGACGTAGAAGTCGGAGCCAGCTTGGTTAGTTGCGGCGGGTCCGAGATACTTGGAGTACTTGGATGTGAACAGCGAGAAGAGCTTCTTGTCGAGGACAGCCACGAAGCCGGAGCGGCCACGAGACTCCCAGACAAAACGAAGACGAGCAGCATGTTCGATGACGACCTCAATGTTGTTGGTCTCTGTGAACTTGGACATGACAGTCATGTACTGCTCGTACAAGATCGTCTCCAAGAGCACGTCCGCCATGATCTCAGAGAAGCTGTACGACACCTTGGAGTCGACGTTCAAGGCCTGCTCAAAAGAGATGAGGAAGACCAAGGACACCTTAGAGACCTTGCGATTGACCTTAATGCTAACATCCTTCTCTCCACCCTCGAAGCCGGGGAAGAGGAGAACGTAGCGCAGCTGGCGAAGGAGATCGTGACCGTGTCGCACCATGCCGCAGGCGATGTAGATCTGGGCCAAGGAGGAGGCGGCGGTGTGCAGGGTCGTGGAGATGGTGACGGTCGTGATGATCTCCATGACGGACGCCTGCAGCATCTGCACGATGGCCATGTGGGACTCCTTAGTGCCGAGCTTCTTGTACAGAAGGGTGATCTCCCGGAGTTTGGCGAGAGTAGTTTCGTGCCACCAGCCGAACTCGATTCTGAGCTGCTCGTAGATCTCGACGTTGACAGAAATGGCGCGCTCGACGGTGGTCGTAGTTGAAACTTGGCCTGTGGTAATTACGGTGACGTAGAGGTGGGACAGACGCTTCTTCATCGTGCGAACTGTCGTCTCGGTGACCACGTTCGTGGTCTTTGTCCTGGTAATGACTTCCTCATAGACCCTAACCGACTCCTGGCAGTGCTCCGAGGAACCCTCGCACACCTCTGCAAGTGCGATCATGGCCTTGATAACGATGCCGGCGGAAGCACCAAAGACCTTGGTAACTGTCTCGCGGTACTCGATGGTAAGCTTGTACCGGACAGAGAACTCGACCTTGGCGCGGTGCTCCAGGACGTAGCGGTAGCGCTCGTAGATGACCTCGACCATCTCCTCGGTGAACTGGATCTCCTTGTTGTGGTGAACAAAAGTCTTCCAGAGAACAGTACAAATCTTCTGAAGCTCGCTGTAGCGCTTCTCAAGGTGGTAGTGGTTGAGAACGATGATGGCGGCATCAAGGCCAGCAGCATGACAGCAGCCGTCGTGGGTGTAGATAGTGACAATCTCGTTGTAGCAGTCGTAGGCCTCCTTGCGACCGAGCTTGAGGTAGACAGCAGCCAGCTTGTAGAGGGTCTGAACTGTCAACTGGTGGTCGCGCTTGAGGTTCTTGCGGTAGTTCTGAAGAAGCTTGTTGTAGATATCGATGACCTTCTCATGGCGGTGGTACTCCTCGTAGAACTCGACCAGAGCGACGCCGGCCTCGAGTACGCAGTGGTCTTCGACGCGAAGGGAGTGGAAACAGGCGTGGAAGATGCGGAGGTAGATCTCCTCGGCCTTGTCGAACTGCCTCTGCTTGTGGTAGCAGCGAGCGAGACCCCTTGCGACGGAGACGCGCTCCTGCACGAACTCGCCTTCGATGGTCAACTTGGTGGTAGCAGTCAGAACACCACCCCAGGTAACCTCCAGAGACTTGCGAATGATGACCTCTGCCTCAGCCCAGTTCTCCTGCCTGAGGTAGAGGTTAACGAGGGCCATGCAGGAACTGAAGAATCCCTTATTGACCTTGCCACCCTTGCAGCGGTTGTAGGTCGTCTCCCAGACCTCCCTGGTGACGGTTTCGACCACAGTGGTGGTCGTTTTGGTCTCGACGGTGGTCTCAATAATCTCCTCGACAACCTCGGTGATGATTGTAGCGGTCGAGAGTGCCTCCTTGTGTTCAATGGTCTTCTTAGACTTGAAGTAGCCCCAGACCCTGCTGAGCATCGACATGGAGATATTGATAATGCCAAACGACTTGGCGATGACGGCCAGCTCCTTGAAGCGGATGACCATGACCTCAGACTCGAAGTTGTGGTGCTCGTACTCAGCCCAGAGGCACACCAAAATGTTGCAAGCCTCCTCGGTTCGCTTGATGCGCTGAAGGAAATGGATGTATTCGATGGCGATGTTGAGTTTCTGGAGGTGGAGCTCGGCGCTGCCCTTGAGGCGGCAAGCCTCCAAGATGGAGCGCCAAAGGCTGACGTACAACCTCTCCGTCATGAGATACTGCTTATTGAACTCGTAGGTACGTGCGAGGCTGAACATAATCTCGATGCGACGGACGTCTGTGTATGAAAGCTCCTCGGCAGCGTCAAAGAGAAGCGTAGTGTGGCGGGAGATGGTTCTGGGGTCATGGCCTTCTCTTCCTTGGAGGACAATACTCATGGAACCAGCTAGCTCAGACTCCTCCTTGGAACCCTTACCAAAACGGGCGGTGACGATGAGATGGAGTTCTCGGTATATCTCCAACGACCTCTCCTCCTCCTTGACGTCGACGTAAAGCTTGGCCAGCATCTTGGTCCACCTGATAACCTCGTCACTGTGCTTACCGCTCTTGCCTCGGTGCATCTCGATCATGTACTTGATCAACTCCTCACGGTAGGTGACGGTCGTGGTTCGCGTGGTGATTGTGATCTTCTCCGTGCAGGTAAGGAACAAGTTGGTGCAGGAGATGACGATAGGGCTGAACTTGTACAGCACAATCTGACCGATGCATGACGCCTTGTAAAAGTACTCGGCAGCGGAGGTCTGGTCGGTGGTGCGCCTGCGGAGGCTTCCCAGGACGATAAGGTTCTGGAGATACGAGCGGTGCCTCTCGCCGAAGCAGGTAGACCGGATGCGAAGAGTGAGATCGTGCATCTCGATAGTGTCCTTGAGCGTGAATTGCGTCTGCCAATGGGACCACTCGAGCAGGGAGAAGAACGTGGTCTCGGGGAAGACCTCCTTGAACTCAGTAGTGAGGGTGAGTTTGCCCTTTTGTCCAACCAAAGATGATGAGCGGAAGTGGTAGACCCAGTGCTGCATCATATACGGCACGATGTGATGCGAGTGAAAGCAATCGTCTATGAGGTCTTGAGGAAGCCCCTCCAGAGACGGCTCGTAGGTGTAGGTGAACTTCGTCTTAGCGAAGAGCATCAGAGCCAACGTCAGGTGGCGGTGGGCATCCTCAATACTCATGAGGGTGTTGCCACAGAGGCTGTGGACGTACTTCCTCACGACGGAATGCTTGAAGCGCAGGGTTCCCCGGTGCACATTGACGAGGCCCTGGGTGTTGTTGATGGGGGCCCAAATGTCGGCAGAAGGAGAGACGGTACGCTTCGACAAGGAAACGCCCATGAGATTGGTCATCTCGCCAGTGGTGAGGGGGCGCTGAGCGGCGAGCATGAAGATGAAGAGGTTGTAGGTCTTGCTCTCGCCGTACTCTTCCTTGATGTTGACCTTCTTCATGAGCTCTCCAATAACAGCCTTCACGTCAGAATTGCAACGGGAGATTGTGTCTTTGAATGAGCCGATGTTTAGGCCTGTAGACAGGAGCTGGATGGAAAGGTAGGCGAAGAGGAAGGAGCCCTTGGCTTGATCGGCAAGCTGATTGACAAGGTTGCGCTTGGAGTTGTCATTCTCTTCAGCGAAGGCGCGAATGCGTCCGAGCCTGTTGGCGAGGAAGAGTTCGATATCGTCGCGCACGTGGTCAGGCGTTATGACCAGATGCTTGCTGCCACTGCCGCCAAGGTGGGAAATCGGGCGGGAGAAGGTGACGGCCTGAATGTTGGGGTGCTTCTTGAGAGCGGAGTGAAGGCGCTTGTGCAGGTCACTGGCCTTCTGAGTCCCGCCCGTGATCTCATCGAGGCCGTCAATGACCAAGACCAGGTGCGCCTTCTTGTTGATGGCAGCAAGACTCAGCTCAAGACACTCCCAAAGATCGGTCTCGAGCTTGTGGCTGTGCTCTCCCGGCGGCGTGCTGCCGAAGATAACTCCAAGCTTCTCGAATAGTGCAATGTCACCGACGTTAGACTCCAAGAGTTGAGAAAGCAAACTCTTTAGAAGAGCAAGAGGCGAAGACTCCTCGGGAATATCGCTCGCTGGTCACAATGTTAGCACGGAACGTCTAGAATGCGACTAGATAACTTACAAAAGGTATAAGAGATGGTCTCGAAGTGAGTTCCGTGGATGGGCCTCTCGAGCCTTTGCCTGACCCAAGCAGCAAGCATACTTTTGCCGCATCCCTCATTTCCAGTGATGGTAAAGATATCATCCTGGCTGCCGAGGAACTCGTGGAGGTCGTGCTGAATCCAGGTACACGTGCCGTCGACGCGGAGCTTGCGGTCGGCAACACGGCCGTAGACAAAAGACTTGACAGACTCCTTGGACGGCAAAAGATGCTGTCGGAGTGTGGCAATATCAAGCGACTGCTGCTTCTCACGGAGCTTGTAGGCCCACATGTGGTTGAAGAGATGCTCCTTCAAAGACCAAATCTCAGAGACCTGGGCACCAAACTCGGCATCGAAATCAATCGTCACCGAACCGCTGAAGATGCGGTTGATACGCTGTCTGTAGAAGATGGCGATGCTTCCAACGAGGTGAACGAGGCTGGAGAAGACACGGTCAAGGTCAGACCTGATGGCCTCACTTGCCGAGAACATATCATGCAGCCTGATGACATGAGAAAGCAACAGACCAAGCTCATAGAGGGCGTTGAACGTAGGCTCCAGAGCCTCGGCCTGATCACAACCCAGCTGTATAATAGGTTAGTAACCAATACCCATAAGTGATGGGCAAACGACATCTTACCTCGAGAAGCAAATAGCAGCTTGCTAAAGCAGTATCCCGGGCACGGTAAGAGTCGGGAATGACCTTCTTGAGGTTCTCTGCGAAGCCATCCAGCTGGATAGCAAAGAACTCGGCCTCCTTCAAAACCCGATCCCACTGGCTGCCCTTGGCAGGCATGTGGATCAAACGCTCGTTGCCGATGTACTCCAGGTACCCTTCGAGGCCCATCCTCTCAAAGTGATCGTGGCTGACATCCTCGATCTCTCGGACGATCTTACCTTTGATAGTCTTGACAACCTCAGAGACACTCAGCATCTTCCACGAGAATGAAGATGAAGATGTTAGCTGGGATGAAGACTGGGTCCTGGTTGACGACTGGGTCTGGACCTGAGAAGAAGAGGTCGTCCGCGTTTGAAACGAGGTGTGCCTTGTGACGGCCTCATTGCCAGACTCAGAGGCAGAGTCGCTGCTCGAGGCGCCGTTCATCCTTCTGGACTCCTCCCTGATGATGTGCTTGTTGACCGATGACTGACTGCTGGTGGTTGCCATGATGGATGGTCGTGACTCTGAGATAGGAGTGCCGGTGGGTGTGATGTCGTCGATAGATCTTTCTGAACTGAAGGATTGCTCGGAAGAAACAGACTTCTTCCGTCGGCCTATGAAGATCGAAATATCAGTTGCGGCTCATAAAAAGGTATGGGAAGGAAGAACAAAGTTTTGGCTGGGCGTACTCAATGGGTTTCTGCGGAATCCAAGCATTGTCGTGGAGCTTGACTGCTGATTCCTTCATCATAACTTCGGGGAATACAAGCGGGCTTTTAAACAACGACGACCCGGGTCGGATAGCTGCCCTGCCTCGGCACCTCGGATGGCCTGTTCAGGTATCTTCGGCCTCCCATGAACCAGCACGCAGGACACCGACGACCATGAGACGCCATTGATCGTGATCACACTATTCCCTGAGACATCAAAACGACTTGCTCTTCAGCTTGACCCCGGCGAGTGGGTGTTAGCGTCCGGTTGCGCGCTTTCCCGATGATTGCTCGCGTCTGAGAATGGCATTGCGAGCATGGGAAAGCTCACAGGGACCCGGTCAGAGCTCGTTCTCCGGGCCAATCCCAGCGTGTTGTCGTCGATATCACAGGAAAAGAGGGGTTCGGAATGCTAAGTTTTGCCTGGGAAGAAAGAATGGAGGGTTTGATATTCTGGATCATGTCTTGATCAATCACCAGCCCTGAAGACCCAACTAGCCATACGAAGGTGTTCAGAATGCCCATCCTCCAAGAGCATGTTCACGAACAGCGTGAAGAGCCATGAAAGTTGTATCCAAAACCAATCGAAGAGAGCTGTGGCTGAATATTGAATAACATCGAACGACAAGCTCACATTTTACCCCGCAAATTGGACGAAGGCCGATGAAAACAGCCGAACCCGTTCGAATGCATCGCCTAAGTCATCGCCAACGTCGTACAACACGCATGGATTATGAGCGGGCACGGCGGGATATCCGTTCCCCGCTTCCAAGGGAAGCCGCTTGAGCCGCCGTACCGTGGGCTTGGTAGATCGCAGGTGGAGTACGCGTACATCAAGGGAATGGACGTTTAGAAGCCAGTCCAGAGGAGGAAGTATTATTCAGTGATGGCCGGCTCAAAGAGGCAATGGGGCGCCCACGAACGGGCTGAACCAGCCTAACCGGGGCACCGGCGCTAGACTATCTCGGGTCCGGGGTTGTTGATCGAGCGCCCGGGTGAAACCCGAGCATACGAAAGTGCTGATGAATCAGCTCCTGCAAGGAATAGGCGACTACTGAAAAGTGGCTTGAGCTTGGCAACTACCCCGTGAGGACGCGCGACGAACGCAAACATGATGGAAACAGCAGCGCGTGCCGATCATGCCTCCCGAGAGGATGGGACACTCATGTCTGCTAGCCTCTTTACTTGTAGCCAAGCCACGAGACTGGCGTTGTTGTCTTATCTCAATTCTCAAAATCGCAGGTCAGATCTCAAATGAAATGCTTGCTCTTCATTCTTCCCCAGCTTGGCAGATCACATCCGCTTTTGTACACGATGAGAACCCAACGAAGGACGCCTCGGAGCCGAAATGAAATCAGCCATTTACACGCCAACCGAACCGAGCTGAGTCGTCACATTTCCAGTATCAATACCATAAATTCCAGGTGGCATTTCTTCTGCCAGCCACTAAACATGGAGGTTTTAGATGCTCCGGCCCGTGTCACGCCCAACCTCCTCCTGGAAGCCCATGCCATTGCGGATACGTGCTTCAACTTCGACGACTCGCTTGGGAAGCATGAAACCCAAACCGAAGAAGACGAAAAAGGCCCACTTCCATCGGAAGGGATTAAAGGTGACGCTGAAGGCGAACCACCATAGAAGCTCGAGGTAGGTGAAGAAGTCGAAAGCGCCAGTGGGCGAGAAGTATTTCAGGAGCTTTGTCATCTCGATCCACGACTTCATCCAGAATGGATGCGGTCTCGTCAACGGGTCGATGAGGAACATGAGGAGAATTCTCGTGTAGATACCGATATGCCAGTTGCCTACGGTGCCGATAGCGGCAACATAGGTGCTGCAAAGTGAGTCAGTTACATGTGAGTTTGCATGTGTCAAGCCAAGACTTACCAGTTGATCGCAGAGATGGACGGATGGTTGGGTGGGAACGTCTGGATGTACCAGTTGGGAGGGCTGTACGGCTCGGTGAAACAGTCCTCGGGTAGGAAGTCGAGCGAGGGACGCTTATAACCAGTAGCCATGACAATGATATCCGCGGGAACCACCTCTCTCCTTCCTGGGCCATCCTTGGGAACACCTTGAGCACGTCGGTTGACGATGACACCATCAGCGGTAAAGCCCTCGATATCGCAACGAATCCACTCAGCATGGCCCGAGCGAATGGTTTCCATGACGTGGCTGTTGACCATCGGCGTGTCCATGTAGATGCCTTTGTTGTAAGGAGCGATATCTTGCAAGTCGCGATAGAACAACTTGCGGAGCAGGGTTTCGGGGATCCATGAGAATCTCGTCTCTTGGCCAAGAATGTTCATTGCCAGCAACATGTTCACGATTGGATTGCGAGGAATGATCCATTTGTCGCTGCGAGACAGGATCGAGGTCTTTTCGGCTTCTTCGTCTACGGCGAACTCCAATGCCTCAACAGCGCTGGCACCACCACCAATGACGACCATCTTCTTGCCCTTGGCGTTCTTTCTATAAAGTCATTAGTCCTGCAGCGCACCAGAGTGTACCTAGGGGTTGGAGATTCATACCCGGTGAGTTGACTGGAGTGATACACATGACCCTTGAAGTTCTCCATTCCGGGGATATGGGGCATTTTGGGCTCGCCGCATGTGCCGACAGCAGCGATAACGCCCTCGAAATGACCATTTGCGGTGTTGTTGACAACCCAGCGACCCTTTTCGTCCTGGTAGACTTTGTCCACGGGGGTGTTGAACTTGGTGCGAGTCTCCAGTCCATATTTCTCCCAAACCTGCTTAACTTGGCTGAGGATTTGCTGTCTGTCGGGGTAGCCGCGCTCCCATTTCACGGAGGGGTGGAAGCGGAACATCATGGAGTGAATCTGTAAGCTGGAAGAATTGTTGACTTTCTGTATCTGACATTAGTGCTACTCTAAATTGGGTTGCCAGGGGTTGTCGTACACTCCAGATACCTCCCAAATTCTCGCGACCGCCCGCCTCGAATATGACGACGTCGAATCCATGGCCGATACAATGCGCTGCAGACGTGACACCGGTGATACCAGCTCCAATGACCGCCACCTTGGGACGGCTCAGGCGGGTGCTCGGCTCGGGAGGAGTGGGAGAGAAGATCTTATCCGCGAACCATTGGAACACCTGGAAGAGGAAAAGGAAGGGATGGAAAAGGGGGTTCTCTACGCGAGATTCGGACGGCATCGTGGCAGACAGGCCTCAAGCCCAGACGTGTTCGGTGGTTGTTTGAGTAGCAGAGCAATCGATGCTTTGTCCAGCGGAGTGTAGGAGGACAAGACAAAGCAACGAAAGGGGGTATGAAACTCTATAAAACCAATTGAGGAAAAAAAAAAAAAAAAGCTAAGGGAGCTCAACAGAACAAGGCGAACGTGGCAGACGGCAAGCCTAGGAAGCTCCAGGAGCTCTGGGCAGCTCACTGGCATGTGAGCTTCCCTTAACGTTGAGGTCAGGTCCGCGTCAAACCCCCCGCGGCTGGCAGACTGAGACGGCCGGCGAACAGGCCCACTGGTTATGAACGATTGACGTCACCAAGAACGCTAGGGGAGTCAATTGAAACGCCACAGGGAAGCATGTGAAATACGGGGTTAGCCCGGCCCAGCCCACTGTTCTGTGCCTGTCTTGACCTGACGCCAGGGAACTGCTGGGGGGCATGGGCCGCCGTTTGATCCAGCCCGCCTTCAAAAAACCCCATTGGAAAAGTCTTTCGAAGGTGGCTGTCATCACTTGGGAAGACATGCGAAATCAAGGCCGAATGGTCGACTGTGGCAGGGCTATGCATAGTCCGAGGACCAAGACACTGCCGAGGCCACCTGCTGTTGGCTGCTACGCTGAAATGGTTGGGTGATCTAGACCCAGGTTGGATCGCGAATTTCGGAAGATTATCGCTGACTGGCCGATCGGATTAGCTGCCGGTATGGTACTTCCCAGTCACTTGAGCATGGCACCAGACGAATTTCCATGGGCACACAACCAGGCCACACATTGACACAAACACAATTGCAACTCTAAAACGTCGACTGAACTGGTCTAACCCAGTCCAAGAACCTCGGCAAAAACTCCTTTCTTTTTGATGCTGAATACCTTTCGGCGCACTATTGGGGTATCTCCGTCCGTCTATCGCTTGCCTCTGTCGCGTCTGCCCGCCTCCAGGGTCTTGACACGCTTCTGGAAACGCTCTCCCATCTCGGCTCTTTGGCCGCTGCCCCTCGGCCCGTCTGTCGTCTCTCTGCCGCGCTTCCGGCTCTTGTCGAGGAGATCGCGGGTACCGCCGCTCTTCTTGCGTGCAGTGAGTCTGTTGATGCGGTCCACGCCCTCTCCCAAGTCTCTCCATTCCTCTCCGCCAAATTGCATGCGACCACTGCGGCCGGTTCTCGCGTTCTCCTTAGCCTGCTCCTTCTTGCTCTTGGGAGCGAGACGGACAAAGTTGGTTTCTTCATACTCGCGGCGTTCGTCCTCGTCCTTGCGCTCCGCCGCCGTCTTCATCCTGCGACCTCCAGACACAATGGTTGTACCAATACTTGGCTCTGCGAGGGGAGCGGTGGACATTTCGGTCTCGATAAACTCGTCCATGACAGCAGACTTGTGGGGGCGACGGTCGGTCTTCTCGCGGCGCTCCGACGGCATGACTGTAGGGGCGATCCTTGGCGGACGGTAGACTCCATCCTTTTTGGCGGCTGCGACAGCGGCAGAGGCCGCGGCGGGACGGACGAAGGCGTCTGGTCGGGCTTGCATGGCGGAAGCCTTGAGGTCTTCCTCATCGTCGGACGCCTCGTCGCTGCCTGATTCGTCGTCGGACGCAGATTCGGAGTTGTCGCCGTTGCCTCCCTCCGCTGCCTCGGCGGCTTTGGCGTTTCTCTCGGCATCGTCCGCAGCGCGCAGGATCTTTTCAATCTGGTAGCGCAACTTGTCTTCGAGAGGGCGAACACCCTTCTCCAGGTAAAGTCTCAGTTCCACCAACTTCTTGACGACTGCCTGCGTAGTGTCGTCGGCGTTCCCATCGTCGCTAGATTGCTTCTTAGCGTTGCGAAGCTTGAGCAAGATCAGGAAAACCAGATTTTGGAGGTAGGAAAGAAGAAGCTCGTTCTTGACGTCGAGGAGCGAGATGCCATTCTGAGGTGGCGCAATTGAATTCTTGGGTGCTGCGTCGAGCGAAGTCGTCAATGACTGTGTCAAAGAGTCCAGCAGAGCTGGCAGAGTGCTTGGTGCAGCCATTTTGACCTGGCGAGAGTGGCTGCAACTGGTGAAGATTTTTGAAGCAGCAGCGTGAACAGGGACGCGACCCAGGAATTTTTTTTTTTTTGCAACAGCAAAACCGATCTGCAGGTGCGGGACCCGGAACTGCGGGCGTGTGGATCCCCGACTGTCGGACCCCACCACCAGTGTTTCCTTCCACGGGCGGGACGCCGGGGAGACAATGTTCCGACAGGGAGCTCGGACAAAAGTGACTAAGCCGCATTTGGGACAGTTGTTCGAGACGGGAGGCAGGAGGCAGCAAGCAGTTGGAGCTCCTGTGGAAGCAGTGACGAAGCTCCCAAACCTGACACAACAAAAAAGCAATTGGCCATCTGTCCACCTTGGGAGCTCTGTGCTTCTACACCCACGATCGCAGGCTCTTCCGTTTTTTCTTTCGAGTCATTTTTTCAACGCATCTCGCCTGGAGCTGAACAAACCCGGACGATCCACCGGCTGTAAGCCGCTTCGCGTACATATATCCAAGGGTACGTAATCGCGATCTATGGAGCTATTCCCATCGGTTTCATGTTTCACGCTACTGTTCTCTTGAACAGCGCAAACGCATCGCAATTCGCCGAGGCTGACGGCGAATATTGAACAGAGCTCTAGTATCTCCCCATAATGCAACTGCGAGATATGGCGCCTTCATCGGCGCTAGTCGCCTCGCTGCTGGCGATCCCGCAGCTGGCGTCCGCATTCTACCTGCCAGGTGTTGCGCCCACGTCCTACAAGAAGGGCGACGTCGTTCCCCTGTATGTCAACAGCATCAAGCCTGTCGCCGCTCCCTCCGACTCGCGACTACATTCGATCGTATCCTACGACTATTACCACCCCGGATTCAAGTTCTGCGAGCCGTCCCCCGCGCCCGAATATGTGTCCGAAAGTCTCGGCAGTATCCTTTTCGGAGACCGCATTATGACCTCGCCCTTCGAGCTGCGCATGAAGAACGACGAGGTTTGCAAGCCGCTCTGCATCCAGAAGTATCCTCCGGCTGCTGTTGGCTTTGTTCGGCGCCGTATCGAGCAGGGCTACAGCTTGAACTGGCTCGTGGACGGCTTGCCCGCGGGACAGGAGATCTACGACGACTTCACGAACACAACGTTCTACAACCCCGGCTTTCTGATGGGAGGCGCCGACGAGCAGGGAAACATCATCTTCAACAACCATTATGACATCAACATCGAGTACCACCCGGTCAACGGCGACGAGACCCAACTCCGTGTTGTCGGCGTTGTGGTGGAGCCCAGCTCCCGTGCCTACCCTGGTCTGCTGGACTGCAACAACCAGATGGAGCCTATTATCTTCAACGAGGACAGCGGCGAAAAGGAGGTTAAGTTCTCTTACTCGGTCTACTGGAAGGAGTCCAAGACAGCCTGGGCAACTCGCTGGGACAAGTACTTGCATGTCTTTGACCCCAAGATCCACTGGTTCTGGCTCATTGACACTGCTATCATCGTGATTATCCTGATCCTCACTGTCATGTCCATCTTGGTCAGGGCCTTGAAGAAGGATATTGCTCGATACAACCGTCTGGATCAGATCAACCTGGACGATCTGTCGGGTACCTCGGTCATCGAGGATGGCGTGCAGGAAGACTCCGGGTGGAAGTTAGTCCACGGGGACGTATTCCGCAACCCATCCCACCCTCTCCTCCTTTCCGTTCTGCTCGGAAATGGTGTGCAGTTGTTCGTCATGGCCGGCTTCACGATCTGCTTCGCTCTTCTCGGCTTCCTGTCGCCGTCTAACCGTGGCTCGCTCGGTACTATTATTCTCCTCCTCTACACCATTCTGGGCTTCGTCGGCGGCTATGTCTCCTCGAGGACTTACAAGTCGATGCAGGGTGAGAAGTGGAAGATGAACATTGCGCTCACCCCGATCTTGGTCCCCAGCATCGTCTTTGGCGCGTTCTTCTTCCTTGATCTGTTCTTGTGGGCCAAGCAGTCTTCAGGTGCTGTTCCTTTCACCACCATGCTCGTCATTATCGCCATCTGGTTCGTCCTGTCGGTCCCTCTGTCTTTTGCTGGATCGTGGATGGGATTCCGTGCTTCCGTCCTTGAGCCCCCCGTCCGAACCAACCAGATCCCCCGCCAGGTCCCGCCCGTCACGACCTACCTGAGGCCGATCCCCAGCATGCTGATCGTCGGTCTACTGCCGTTCGGTGCCATCTTCGTTGAGCTATACTTCATCATGAGTTCGGTCTGGTTCAGCCGGATTTATTACATGTTTGGCTTCCTCTTCCTCTCCTACGGCCTTATGATCGTCACCACTGCCGCAGTCACGATCCTCATGGTCTACTTCCTTCTGTGCGCCGAGAATTACAACTGGCAATGGCGCTCATTCCTCGCTGCCGGCATGAGCGGCGGCTACATCTTTGCCAACTGCCTGTTATACCTTATCACTAAGCTGAACCTGAGTAACCTGGCCGGAACTGTGCTTTACATCGGATACAGCGCCCTCATTTCCTTCCTCTTCTTCATTCTGACCGGTAAGATTACCCACCACACAAGCACACCCGTTCGAACACGACGCTAACTTCGCACAGGCTCGATTGGTTACTTCGCTAGCTGGTGGTTCGTCAGGAAGATTTATGCCTCCATCAAGATCGATTAAGTGGCATAGTGTGGAGGCGTTGGCATGTGACGACCGAATCATGCTGCTGTATGATTACTTTATTTGTACGAATACTTGCTGAGCGTTGCATTGGTGTTGATGAGCAGCGCATATGCAGCGCTTTTGATCATGGGATTTCAAAATGCTCTCTTCCATTTAGATGTTTTAGACGGATGAAAGGTAGACGAAAAATGGATGCCACCATGTCCCGAAACGCTTGCTGTGATGCTTTAAATACTCCCTGGAGGTTGTACACTGTAAGGTCCAACCTGCAAGACTATTCGTCATCATCGTCGTCGTCCATGATGCTCGTGAACTGGAACTGCTTGTTCTTTCCAGCGGACGAGGCACCAGCGCCGACGGCCATGCTGTCGCGTCTGTAAGCCTCCTGTTGCTCGCGGCGGATCCTCTCCATCTTCTCCTGGTACTCGCGGTTCTTCCTCTCCAGCTCGGCCTTCTCCTGCTCCTCGCGCGCCTTGCGCTCCTCCTCTTCCTTCCGCTTCGCCTCGGCGATCTGCGCTGGATCGTAGCCACGCGGTTCAATGCCTTGGTCCTGCAGTTCTTGGAACACCGCCATCGCACCGCTGCGGATCTGGAACTCGTTCGGCCACGGGATGAAGCTCGCGTTGAAGTGCGGGTCGAGGTGGTTGCGAAGACCATCGGGGAGAGATGTCGCGCCACTCGTCGTGGTTTGCTGCGTCGCAGCCAGGTCCCCTGAGCTGGTGCCACCGTTGATAACACCTGACGGGTCGGGTGTCTGGGTCTGGCTGGGTGTCGGAGCAGCGCTGACGGGCTGGCTTTGCATGCCGTTTGCGCCGGGGGTCGTGGCTGCGGTCATGCTCGCGTTGGGGTCTGGGGCGGGCGTGCTGCCTTCCGTCGGTACGCCGTTTGTAATGGCTGCCGGGGGCATGGTGGTCTTGCTGATACGGCGGGCGTAGTTGAGGAGCTCATCGTACTTGACAGGATACTTTGGTCCGTTGGTGTACATCGTGATTTGGGTGGTGGTGATGTCCTTGCGGGTCGTTGCGAGACTCTGTAGTGTCTCTCGGATCTGGGAATCAAGGGACGAGGTTGTCGCACGAAGCTGCTGCAGCCGCAGGTGGTTGTTCTGGTGAACTTGTACTAAGTTTGAGGGTTAGCGGTGAGTTGTGAATAGCTTCATTCGAGAAGACTGTACCCTCATCGAGGCCTCTCGCGAGATCGTTGTCAGCTTCATGAAGGTCCAGTGCCTGTTTGGCATTCGGATGATATTTCGAAACCGACTCGATCAGACTGGCAAGAGCCTTCTCAACGCGCTCGAAGCGCGCATCAATGACTTTGTCCATGTTGGCGTTCCCGAGCTCCTCGATCGCCGACGTCGGTTGAGCTGTGCTTGTGGAGGAAAAGATCGTTGCATTCGAGAAGCGCAAGGCTGAGCCGATTCAGGGCGAGCTGGGTGGGTCCTGCCGAAAACCAGCGCCGATTGGCTCCAGCTCCCTCAGCCAGTAGCCTGAGGCGCAATGGAAATCCGGCTTTTCCCGCTAAGAATCTCGCGCAACATCATCATTCCTTCACGATTCCCTTTTGCATCTGCAATTGAATATCCCAATTCGTCTGCACGACGCCCACAGTCAAGATGGTCACTCCTGTAAGTCCGATGTCCGCCCAGAGGCTTTTCTCTTCGCCCAGAGCCTTTTTGAGCCACTGCGCAACCTACCATTTGCTGATCACTGCTTTCTCTGCAGCCCCGTGTTGGTACTCTGTACCCTACCTACCGCAGCAAGTTCGGCCCCAAGTACGTTCCTCGATAGCCCTGCGATTCCGAAGCACCTCCCTATTTCGATTTTCGACCACCATCAGCGTCATGAACGAACGATGCAATGCCTCGAGAATCTACGACGTCGAATCGGAGCAGTGGACTGACTGGGTGGATTTAGGTACAACACGGTCCCCAACGTCGCTGGCTGGACTGTTAGCCAGGTTATCAAGCTGTGAGTCTTCCCCGAACATCTGCGCCCTTCTAAGAAGCCCCCACGGCGCCCTCAAGAAACCTCAACACCCTCTTCCGTTCGGCCGGACACCCGAGATCAAGGCCGAAGGCAGGAGCAGGACACGGCCTCCGGTTCTCGGGAGCAACACGCCGCTGGAAGACCACGTATTTGGAGAGCCAAGTGCTGACTTTCTATTTCAGTGGTGTCCGTGCTGGTGGCTTCGGTGCCGCTGCTGGTATTGCTGCTCTGTTCTACACCTCTGGCATTCCCAGAATACAGAAGGACATCCTCCAGGTAAGCCAAGCCAACTGCTTAGAACAACTGCAGGAGGAAACATGACTGACACCCGCACAGAAGATCCCCATCCTCGGCAACCAGTTTGTCAAGGAGGTCCACCCCGCTGACAACGTAAGTCCCGCCCAAATAATAGCATATGTGAACAGCCTCTGACTTTTGGCCCAGCCTTTCTAAACAACTTCCTTTCACAACTATGTTTTCCTGGATAGACAAAGGGAAAGCATTGTGAGCTGGAGTTATGAGACCATGGAGAGTTCTCCCTCTGAGGAGTGTATAAAAGATGCAATAGACTCTTAAACTTCACTTTGTTTGACTTTGGACCAACTGCTATGTTATATGTGATATGAACCTTGTTCAATGATCTAACCTGGTGGATATTGTGATGAAACTCAAGGTTCTGCTATGAAAATGTCACTGATCTCACCTGTGTGGCTGTTTTACCAGATTCAAGATGCACCGTGCATATACAGTGCGAAGACGCTTAATTTCCCCCATTCGAGCGTTTGGCGAACTGTTCACTTTCATCTCACTTCCACAGTCAGGAGGCCCGACTTTGGTAGCAGACCAGCTTTTGTATTGAGGCAGTAACGCCTCAGTTTTCTTTTTCTTTCGACTTCGGGTTCTCTTCCGCTTCCTTTACTCACCTGGGTTCTCATGCAGCCTTCATAATTATTTTCATCAACCAGCCTGTCCTTTCCGCACCGACGACACCTCAGGGTGTCTTACAGCCATCATGAAGGCCATCGAAGCCTACGTCGACGGGCTCAACCTCCTCTCGATCATTGTGCTCTACACGCTTCTGTGGTTGATTACACCGAGACTCCCTAACCCGACACCATCGGGTCCCAAGACCAACAAGCTTTACGATGGCTTGATGCGCGTCTCCTACAGCATCATCTTTATCGTCGGATGGGCTTGGTGCAGCAATGTCATGTCGCATGTGGAGGAGCCGTACCTGGTTGGTCATAACGGTTCAATTTTATGAGACTGCACTTGTTGACACTACATAGGATGAAGTCTTTCATATTCCACAGGCTCAGAAATTCTGCCAGGGAAGGTGGACGGAATGGGACGACAAGATCACCACTCCTCCCGGCTTGTAAGTTGCCCTCCTAGACCAGCACCTATGCCCAGCACCCGTCGCTAACGTCCTCAGGTACGTTCTTTCGAAGTACTACCTCGCCATGATGCTGCGTCCCGAGTGCTCCGTCTTGGACCTGCGAGGCGTCAACATCATCGCCATCATCGGCCTCGGCATCCTGGCCACGCACTGCCGTCACCTCATTGAGACCCGCCGTAACGACGCCAAGTCTCCAGCGCCGCCCGTCGTGCTGTCCTTCTACTCGATCCACACAGGCTGGAACATCGCCTTGTTCCCCGTCCTGTTCTTCTTCTCCGGCCTCTACTACACCGACGTCGTCTCGACCTTGTCCGTCCTGGTTGCCTATTACCACCATCTGCGCCGCGTCCGCGAGGGGAGAAGCTCGTTCCTCAGTGACCTGACTATGATCATTCTCGGAGTAGTGACCCTGACGATGAGACAGACGAACGTGTTCTGGGTAGTCGTGTACATGGGCGGTCTCGAAGCTGTATCGGCGGTCAAATCCCTCCGTCCCGCCCCTGCTAAGAAGCCTGAGTTCGGAACTCTGTTGGATTGTGCCAAGTACTACGGATGGAGGTACTCCCTAGGAGACATTCACGATCCTCCCCTGAATACTGCCTGGCCAGATGGTACGTCTCCTACATTTCAATACCATGTCCTTCGCTAACCAGTCAGATCTCGTTGTCTCCGCGCTCAGCATCGGTGTTGCGGCTATATTCAACCCTTTCCGCGTTTTGAAGAAGGTCTGGCCGCACATCACCATCATGGGCCTCTTTGCTGGGTTCGTGGCGTGGAACGGAGGTGTCGTACTCGGTATGCCACGATAATTTCCCTTGGGTTATCGATCTAACAACTTGCAGGTGACAAATCCAACCATGTCGCAACGATCCACCTCGCCCAGATGCTCTACATCTGGCCGATGTTTGCCTTCTTCTCCTTCCCACTATTCCTCCCCTCGGCCATCTCTATCCTTCGCTTTGCCCACGGTCTTTTCACCTCCGTCTTTGGCACGGCTTCCACCAAGGAGACGTCAAAGGTCTCTACCAGGAACCCCACTACGGGAGCCAACAAAGACGAACCGACGAAGAAGTCACCACAAGTCTCCGCCGCATACGCCCTCCTGCAGACCATCGTCGGGAACAAGCTCTACCAGCTTGCCCTCACGCCCTTCCTCATCGCCCTCACCTTACTCGTCGTCAAATTCAACACAATCATCCACCCCTTCACCCTGGCAGACAACAGACACTACATATTCTACGTCTTCCGCTACACAATCCGGCGGCCAGGCCTCTTCCGCTACTATCTCGTCATCCCCTACACCTTCGCCCGCTGGCTGTGCTGGGACGCTCTCAGCGGCTGCGGACAGGGCGGCTTCCTCTCAGACCACACGCAGGACTGCTCGGGACAGTACAGCCACCTCCGCCCCGGGCCATTCGACAACAGCCCCTTCAGCGCCGCGAGCTCGCAGCCCCGTCCGGAGAAGCCGCCTTCCACCGATGCTCTCGAAAGCGAAGTCGTGGGCGAGAAGCAGGGCGGAGACGCCAAGTACCACCCCTACGCCCTCATCAAGCTCGACGAGCCGACCTCAAACAGCACGGAGCCCACGTCCTCGTCGACGGCGATCCTGCTGC